TCGTATACATCCCTCCTGCTGCACCCCACTATGTATATATAGATTGCTCCTGTACTACTGCGCACCCCTTATTATCCACCTCTCTGATCATACTGCACCCCATAATACCATCAGTGAGCCCTCCATGATATGTACATTGTGTCTGGATGTGTTGTGTATATGAGAATTGATCGCTCCGCAGAGTTCACCGAAGGTGAAAATGACATTCACAGCGTTGGTGAATCTCCGCAGAGTGCTCGCCTATTGCCGCGATGAGGCACACCCCCGTCCAGCGCCACCTTCCCCCCTTTTCTGGCCACCTGTTGCCCCCGGGTAAACATGGCAAGCTCTTCCCACTCAAGGAGGACAATGGCTGGGAGGAAGAGGAAGAAGAGGAGTCGCAGTTCCGCAAATCATGCCGGCAGCCGCCCAGCAGACAGCGCAGAGGGCGAAAGGTGCGGCTGCGCATTTTACGCTCCCTGTACCTACGCCTCTACAAGCGGACAGTCACATTGCCCTTCTACTGGAGGGGGAGACGGAAGTTTTTCACATAGCGGAGGCGGAGGAGACAGGTGAGGACACCTACGCCCCCCGATATCCTCGCACCCATTTCCCAGAATCCCGCACCTCACTTATACTTTCTCCTTCAGCTCCCGCTCACAGGATCCCCAACGGCTTCTCTCCACTACCAGCGGATCCCGAACACATCCTCATCACCAACGTGTGCAGTATCGGGAATGAAGGCGGCCTGGCTCCCAACGGGCCCCACCAACAGGATGACTTCACTCCGACCCTAGAGAAGGACGTCCCGGCCCTGACGGAAGAGCATGTGGCGTGCGTACAAAGTAAGCGCCCCCTTTAATCTTTGCTGCATGCAGAGGTGCCATGTTCTGTACTGGATGACTCCACCCCCCATAATGAGTGCTGTGGTATCTCCCAGAGTATAGCCGTATACCGCCGTCATTCCGCAAAACTACTCATACACTCCTTTAAGACTCGTCTCTTCAGGGAAGCCGATCCCACCTCAACCTGACCACTCAACCATCACGTTCTCAAACAATTCATCCCCACACAGCTACCTCCTCATGTATCACTGGCCCCTCCCCTTTTAGATTGTAAGCCCTCAGGGGCAGGGCCCTCCTTACATCTTGTCTTGAATTGTATTGTGACTGTAATGTCTTCCTTATATTGTACAGCGCTGCGCACACTGTTGGCGCTCTATAAATCCTGTATAATGATAATAATTCCATGGTGCCATGTGTCGTCATGGAGCTCCCGGTGGCGGTTGATGTCGGTGGAAGTCACCACACGTCTTCTGCTGCATTCTAAGTTTGGTTTTGGAGCGTAGTTCAACTTTAATTGACATGCAAACGCCGACTTCCCTCTGTGCATGACGGCCTCTGCTCTGCCCGGCAGGTATTCTGGACCAGTTCCTCCAAACGTACGGCAGTTTGATTCCGCTGGGGACGGACGAAGTCCTGGAGAAGCTGGAGGATGTGTTCCAACAGCCCTTTAGTACACCCACAAGGTACAGCGCTGGCTGACGGTGGGGGAGGGGGGAAGTGTATGTAAAGCTTGGTCGTACATAGCTCAAATTTCAGCCAGGTCCAGGGATTCGGGTAAAATTCGGCCTGTGGGCACCCCTGCCGGCACTACCCGGCTCAACAAACCGCCAATCAGCTGCAGTCACTGATCCTGTATTCTCCTTTTTTGAGGCCACATGGTCTCACAAAATGTGTAAATAACAAACAGTGAGGCATATAGTATAAAACTCGATAACAGGTTGTAAGATCGGTTCAGGTCATTATATTTGTCCCCGCCCTTAAGGCATTTTATGGTGAACAAAAAGAAACCAACATAACACACACAACAAAATAAGAAGGGAACACTAAGTTGGGGCGGGTGGTCGGGTACAGCCCCACTAAATGGGAGACCAGCCCGAACACGGTCACTCCCCTTCATCACATACTAGGCAGACAGAGACAAACACTGACTCGCAAACCTAAAGCAAAAAGAAACGTAGAAAGAGCAGAAATGAAAGTAAAGATTGCAGTCCCGCTCCCCGGCGACCCCCAGCCCTATCATCCCCAGTGCCACATATCCACCACTAATTGGGTGGCATGGTCGGGCAGCACCTCAGTCTCCCGCGTCCTCTCTGCACACTGTGGCGAAAGCATCCGAGCCCCTGAATTGGACCCAGGTTCCCCATGTAGCCACATGTCTGGACTGCGACTCCCGTAAGCCGGAGGTTAGATCCTCCATCAGTCTAATCTCCTCCTCATCCACATAGTTATGGAGGGAGAGCGGGTTTGTCTCCACAAAGTGGGTATGCAGGCTCTAGCTACGTTCAGCTGTCCCGATTTAGCTCCAGCCACATTAGGACTCGGCACTAGACATGTGCACTGCCAAAAAAATCGTTTCGTTTTAAATTCGGATTTGTGTTATTTCGTTTTTCAGGATTCGGGTGTGAAAGTCGATTCAGAATTCGGACGAAATTCGGTAGCGTTAGTACGAACGTTCGTTTCGTTTTCTATTCTTATTCGTTTCGTTCGTTTGCAGCAAAAGTGACATTTGAGGGGGAAAAATATTTTTCTCCTTCTCTAATGTCACTTTGCTCCAACGAACGAAACGAATAAGAAACGAACGTTCGTACTGAATTTCGGAAATGGAAATTCGGATTCGTTTGCATTCGTTATGTCTGGAATTCGGATACATCCGAATGTCCGAATTTCCCAAAATTCGTCCGAATTTCGATTCGGAACGAAACGAATCGCACATGTCTACTCGGCACCCATGTGACAGCCCTGAGCCAATCACCTCTCCCCCATACCCAGAAGTACAGGTTATAATCTTTGCTCCTGGTGGCTGATTGGTAGGACGGTGGAGTAAAGTAAATGTTTGTATATGTTGCTGGGGGGGATGAAGCAAATGTCCTCTTAGGAGTGTGGTTGTAGTGGATGAAGATGTGGCTTTAAAAACTGCTCCCCGATTCTCCTACGACCCCCATCATCTCCCAAAGGGTGGAGGTCCAGTGACTGGCAGACCTATAATGGCCGCACCGGGTCTCTGTGAACCTTTGGGATTGATGAATGGACTTCTCCAGCCTCTGGTGACATGTAATCCGGGGGGTGGAGGGTCACGGGGGACGGCAATAGGAAGCGGATCATTTCCAAATTGTTTTATTCAGTTCCCCCGTAGATTTGGGCTGAGGGGCTTTCCACGTCCCTCGGTTCCCCTCACTGAATGTTCTCTGGATTTGAGGAACTCGGTGCGAGATCTTTCTGTCGTTTGACCGCATTTATCATCTCCAAAGATGTGCTGCTGAGCCCGCCTACGCCGACCTATATACAGAGCATTCAGGAAGTATTCGCCCCCCTCACATGGTGCAGCCGGAGAAGTTGTTCCTCATTAATCTGCACCCCGAACCCCGTAATGACAAAGTGACAACAGAATGTTAGAAATGTCTGGGAAATTATTCTGAGATGTCACCTGTACATAAGTATTCACACCCTCTACTCATCAGTTACATAGTATTGGAGGTTGAATGAAGATGTAAGTCCATCAAGTCCAACCTATTGCGTGTGTGAGTCCATGCGTGATCTTATTCTTAGCCGTACCTGTCCCCCCTGCGTGTCACCTGTCCCCCCTGTATGTTCCGGTCCCTCAGGAAATCGTCCGAAAGCGCCTTGAATGATTCCACACTCTTAGCTGAGATCACAGCCTGTGGCAGCGAGTTCCAGACCCTGACCGCTCTAACTGAGAAGAACCCCCTTCGCCCCTTGTGCTGACAACTTTTCTCCACCAGTTTTAGGTGGCGGCCTCTAGTCTTTGTTTTGGAGTTTACCGTAAAGTTTGTTGCTGATGTTGCTGTCACCATTGAACATCTTGTACATGAAAATCATGTCCCCCCTTAATCTCCGCACCTCCAGCGTGAACATATTTAGATTTAGTAGCCTCGTCTCGTAGCTCTGGTCCTCCATCCCCTTAATAAGTTTGGTTGCCCTCCTCTGGACTCTTTCCAGCTCAAGGACGTCCTTTCTGTGTACTGGTGACCAAAACTGGACCGCGTACTCCAGGTGAGGCCGAACCAGTGATGTGTAAAGTGGCAAAATTATAGACTTGTCCCTGCAATACATCCCCTTCATAATACAGGAGAGGACCCTGCTAGCTTTGCTTACAGCAGCCTGGCACTGCGAGTTATTCTTCAGCCTGTGGTCTACAATGACCCCCAAATTCTTCTCCGTTTCCGACCTACCTAGCGGCACCCCCATAATGGTATAACCCATTTGCCTATTTTTAACTCCAAAGTGCATTACTTTGCATTTATCCACATTAAACCTCATCTGCCATATAGTTGCCCCTCCCCCTATTTTCTCCAGGTCCTCCTACAGGGGTGTGGAAATTTTAGAAAAAAACTACTTGTCCAAGGACTAAAGCGGGGGCCCGATCTACTTATCCCTCGTAACAATCTACTTGTCCTGATGCAAAAAAATAATTTTAGCCATAACCGTATTTAGCAGTGCTAAGAAGCACTTCTCATTGGTCAGCGTCGTCAGGTGGCCGCGTTGACTAATGAGTGCTTGCAATTTGCGAGCGAAATTCACAATATACGGAACAGGTACAGATAGTACACCCGTACTGGTGGACGGGAAGGACCGTTCGCCGAAAGGTAAGTATAGTGGGAGGGAGATTTGTGCGGGTAATTCCATTTTCCAAAATTACTTGGGAAAGTGAATATACCCTTTAGGGTTGGTGCAGACTTGGCCAATCCCGGGACGCGCGATCATGTGCAGTTGCATACAGCGGTTGCGTCCACATGTATGGGGTTACATCTGCATGGCAATCGCTGAAAAAAGGTACATGTACCTTTTTTCGCAACACGCACCGCACAGTGTTTTCAACCGCGATTGCGTGGGACCGCCCGGGCGGTATTGCGGCAGTAAACCGTGCAATCTGCCTGGCACGACCGGGGTGCCAATAGAAAATAATGGCACTGCCAGCGCGATCGGCGGTGGTGTGCGATCTGTGACTGCCCGGTCATCCGCTCAGATTCGTGCACAATGACCGTGCAGTCACGGATGGCACAACACCGCCGATCGCGCTGGCAGTGCCATTATTTTCTATTGGCACCCCGGTCGTGCCAGGCAGATTGCGTGGTTTGCCGCTGCAATACCACCCTGCCTGTGCGGTTGCACATGATCGCGGTTAAAAACACTGCACGTTTATTCGCATGCAGATGATGGGGGCAGTGGGGCTGGTTTTCATGTTTTAAATTTTTATTTACTTTGTAAAAACTTTTAATTTTAATTTAATGTTATTATTTTTAATTATCACCTTTTTATTTTTTACATTTGTGTTTAGTTACATTTTTAATTAGTTATTTATTTTTACTTTTATTTTATAATTTTTCCCCTTAATAAGTTTGGTTGCCCTCCTCTGGACTCTTTCCAGCTCAAGGACGTCCTTTCTGTGTACTGGTGACCAAAACTGGACCGCGTACTCCAGGTGAGGCCGAACCAGTGATGTGTAAAGTGGCAAAATTATAGACTTGTCCCTGCAATACATCCCCTTCATAATACAGGAGAGGACCCTGCTAGCTTTGCTTACAGCAGCCTGGCACTGCGAGTTATTCTTCAGCCTGTGGTCTACAATGACCCCCAAATTCTTCTCCGTTTCCGACCTACCTAGCGGCACCCCCATAATGGTATAACCCATTTGCCTATTTTTAACTCCAAAGTGCATTACTTTGCATTTATCCACATTAAACCTCATCTGCCATATAGTTGCCCCTCCCCCTATTTTCTCCAGGTCCTCCTACAGGGGTGTGGAAATTTTAGAAAAAAACTACTTGTCCAAGGACTAAAGCGGGGGCCCGATCTACTTATCCCTCGTAACAATCTACTTGTCCTGATGCAAAAAAATAATTTTAGCCATAACCGTATTTAGCAGTGCTAAGAAGCACTTCTCATTGGTCAGCGTCGTCAGGTGGCCGCGTTGACTAATGAGTGCTTGCAATTTGCGAGCGAAATTCACAATATACGGAACAGGTACAGATAGTACACCCGGACTGGTGGACGGGAAGGACCGTTCGCCGAAAGGTAAGTATAGCGGGAGGGAGATTTGTGCGGGTAATTCCGTTTTCCCAAATTACTTGGGAAAGTGAATTTACCCTTTTAGGGTTGGTGCAGACTTGGCCAATCCCGGGACGCGCGATCATGTGCGGTTGCATACAGCGGTTGCGTCCACATGTATGGGGTTACATATGCATGGCAATCGCTGAAAAAAGGTACATGTACCTTTTTTTCGCGACACGCACAGCACAGTGTTTTCAACCGCGATTGCGTGGGACCGCCCGGGCGGTATTGCGGCAGTAAACCGTCCAATCTGCCTGGCATTTGTAATGACGGTGCTGCCCGGCTTCCTGATACAGGAAGTACTCGTGCTTGGTATCGGAGCATTTGGACGAGTACGAGTACTCACCCTAATACTCGGTATCGGCACCAATACTAGTATCGGTATCAGTGCATCCCTAGTGTACAGGCCAACTTCCAGGAGCTCCCTCCTCCTCCACGGGAAAAGTCCTCATTTCACTCATGTCTGGAAACCAGTCCGGAGGGGACCGTTCATTGGAGTCTGCTGAACTATTGAAAGTTTCCAGCTGGAGGCGAAGGGGACGAGGAGTAGTGATGGGCTCGGGCGTGTTCGCAGCTCCACGTGCCGAGCCCGCCGGGAAGCTGACAGCGCCAATCGCAGGCACTGAGACATAACCCGCTCTCTGCAGCTGCGGACCGGGATCATGTCTCGGTACCTGTGATTGGCGCTGTCAGCTTCCCGGCGGGCTCGGCCCGCGGAGCTGCGCGCACG